CAGTTCAATTGCTGAGCCACCCAGGCATCCCAAAAATTTAAATATAATATTTTTACCCTAGGGGCACCTGGATGGCTCAGTTGGTTAAACATCCAACTCTTGGTGTCAGCTCGGGTCATGATCTCAGGGTCCTGAGAACGAGCCCTTTTGCTGGGCTCTCTGCTGAGTGTGGCGATTGCTTAGGATTCTCTATCTCCCTCTGCCCCTCCTCCCTCCTTGCTTGTTCTCTCTAAAAATAAATAAGTAAATCTTTAAAAAATAGGGATCCCTGGGTGGCGCAGCGGTTTGGCGCCTGCCTTTGGCCCAGGGCGCGATCCTGGAGACCCGGGGATCGAATCCCACATCGGGCTCCCGCTGCATGGAGCCTGCTTCTCCCTCTGCCTGTGTCTCTGCCTCTCTCTCTTTCTCTCTCTGTGACTATCATAAATAAATAAAAATTAAAAAAAAATATGTATATTTTAGGCAGGCCGGGTGGCTCAGCGGTTTAACGCTGCCTTCAGCCCAGGGTGTGATCCTGGAGACCCGGGATGGAGTCCCACGTCGGGCTCCCTGCATGGAGCCTGCTTCTCCTTCTGCCTGTGTCTCTGCTTCTCTCTGTGTGTCTCTCATGGGTAAATAAATAAAACCTTAAAATAAAATTAAAAATATGTATATATAATCTTAAAACAAAAGAGGAACGGGCCACAGGGCAACCCATAATGTAGGGCTCCCGGCCCCCATGCCTGCACACATGGGGGAGGCCGCCGAATCCAGACACCAGACTGAGCAGGGCTGGCGAGTGGGCTCAGTGAGCTGACTGCCTAAATAGATCAATGCTTTTCAAAGGAGCACAGCCCAGGGACGCCTGGGTGGCTCAGTGATTGTCTGCCTTTGGCTCAAGTCATGATCCCGGGGTCCTGGGATCGAGTCCCCCATTGGGCTCCTCCCTGCATGGAGCCTGCTTCTCCCTCTGCCTGTGTCTCTAGCTCTCTGTGTCTCTATGAATAAATAAAATCTTAAAAAAAAAAAACAAACAAACTTCAGAAATACAAGACGTGTGAGCAAGTAGGCAGTGAGACCCATGCCCCCCCCCCAAAAAAAAAACCACTGCAGGTCAACCCCCACCCAGTGTAGATGCTGGAAGCAGAAGAGAATTTTATTTTTTTTTAATTTTTATTTATTTATGATAGTCACACATAGAGAGAGAGAGGCAGAGACACAGGCAGAGGGAGAAGCAGGCTCCATGCACCAGGAGCCCGACGTGGGATTCGATCCAGAGTCTCCAGGATCGCGCCCTGGGCCAAAGGCAGGCGCTAAACCGCTGTGCCACCCAGGGATCCCCGGAAGAGAATTTTAAAGCAGCTATTACAACTATGTCCAAGGGAGTAAAGTAAAATATGAAGAATAAATAGAAAATCTCAGCAGTCATGTGGAAAATAGGAAAAGGTGAAAGAAATTCTAGAAGAAAAAAGAGGTCAGGAATAATTAGCAATTTAAATCCAGCAATAGATAAACCGTGTGTACTCATCATGACCCAGTGGGGTTCATTCTAAGGACAAGACTGGCTCAACATCCAGAAATGCATGCTCGCCACTGTATCAACAGTATAAACTGTATAAACAGCCTGAGAAAGCAAACTCTCTCATCACCTCCAGGTACAGAAAAGCACTTGAGCAAATCTGCGTCAACTCACAGTGCACACTAAGGAAGCAGAAGAGGGACCTTCCTCTCCCAGCCCAAGGGCCACCCGCTCTCCAGCAGCACAGGAGGCCTGGCTGGAGCAAGAGACAAGAAAATTCGTAAAAGCCACTAAGATTGGAAAGGAAGAAAAACCAACAGCCTTGGGACGCCCGGGTGGCTTAGCGGTTTAGTACCTGCCTTCAGCCCAGGGCGTGATCCCGGGGTCCTGGGATCAAGTCCTATATCGGGCTCCCGGCAGGGAGCCTGCTTCTCCGTGTGTCTCTGCCTCTCTCCGTGTCTCTCATGAATAAATGAATAAAATCTTAAAAAAAAAAATCAACAACAGTCTGTACTCCAGCTAACATGAAGAAGAGATGTTAATTTCCATGGGAATGCAATGAACAAAATTCAGAATGTGGACAACAAATGACCCAGCTTCTTCAATGAAGAAATTTCGAGAACAGGGAGGGGAGCAACAGATGCACAAAATACTCATGGGCGCAGCATACACACCTGAAACCTTGAGTCGAACAAACCAGCTCTTAGATTTGACACAATTAGGGATCCCTGGGTGGCTCAGCGGTTTAGTGCCTGCCTTCAGCCCAGGGCAGGATCCTGGAGTCCTGGGATCAAGTCCCACACTAGGCTCCCGGCATGGAGCCTGCTTCTCCTTCTCCCTGTGTCTCTGCCTCTCTCTCTCTGTGTGTGTGTGTCTCTATGAATAATAAATAAATCTTAAAAAAAAATAAAAGAGTATGTTAATATATTTTTTTAAAAAAGGGATCCCTGGGTGGCGCAGCGGTTTGGCGCCTGCCTTTGGCCCAGGGCACGATCCTGGAGACCCGGGATCGAATCCCACATTGAGCTCCCGGTGCATGGGGCCTGCTTCTCCCTCTGCCTGTGTCTCTGCCCCTCTCTCTCTCTCTGTGTGTGTGACTATCATAAATAAATAAAAATTTTAAAAAATTTTGACACAATTAGAAATCTAAAGCACCAAGGGGGTTTTTACTGAAGAATTAGTGCTTTTTAAAAAAGTGTGATGAAGATGATGTTCCTATGCCCTTAGGACATCCCACCAAGATATTTACAAGTGAGCTAAGTTGTGAGAAATTTGTTTCACAGTAACACAGCTGTGGGGTGAGGGCCCAGGCTGAGTGCACCGACTTGGGGTCTCACATGTTCTTCCCTCCACTTCCCCACGTGCTCCAAATTGGCCCTATCACAAAATTTTTTTAATTGTATTTATTTATTCATGAGAAACACAGAGACAGAGACACAGGCAGATGGAAGCTCCATGCAGGGAGCCCCATGTGGGACTAGGTCTCGGGACTGCGGGATCATGCCCTGAACCAAAGGCAGACTGAGCCATGTAGGCATCCCATAAAATTGTTTAAAGTCAAGTAAAAATTGGGGCACTTGGGTAGCTATCAGTTGAGTGTCCTACTCTTGGTTTTAGTTCAGGTCATGATCCCAGGGTTGTGGAATTGAGCCCCATGTGGGGCGCCACGCTCAGTGGGGCGGTTGCTTGGGACTCGCCCTCCCTGTGCCCTTCCCCACTCGTGAGCGTTTTTCTCTATATAAAATAAATAAATGGTCCATGTACCATCGCCCAGCCTCTCCTAGTCAGTCCTCACCTAACTCTGGTACATCACCCAGACCAGGAAATCGACACAGGCATGACACAATCAACCAGAGACCACACTCATTTACAGTTTTTAATATGTACTCGCCAGTAAGAACAGTGAGACACCCGACAATGTGTATGAACGCAACTCGAGGCCAGAAAGAAACCAGATGCGGGATGGTGTGCTCTGGGGCTCCATTTAGCTGGAGGCCAAGCACAGAGGAGGCTCCTCTACAGTGACAGACACCAGGCTGAGGAGGAGGAGGAGGATTTAGAAAGGAACACACAGTCATTTTCTGGGTGGTGGAACTGTTCTCCATGTTTTGGGCAACAAGGACATGGATTGGCCAACTGCTACACTTCTTCAAATTGAACACGTCCACTATGGCTCAATAAAAATAAAACTTAAATCTCAGCTGATAATTATCTTCAAAAATAAAAGAGAAAGGAGAAGAAGGGAAGGGTCTTCTCTATCAGAGACCATAGTAGATGCAGATGGCACGAGAGAGGTAGAAGGTGGGCACGCACTCTCCTCCCCCCTTGGAATAAACGTGAGGCTACTGGGCCACAATTGGAGGCACAAGCCCATCTCGACAGTGGAGAGACGCTGGCAGCCCTGCCCTCCAACATGACGCCCCACGGTGCGCTGCCTCCCTGTGAAGGATCCCTGCCCACCCTGAACCTGACCACCTGACTGTAATCAGCTTTCAAGCCTACCTTCCCACTCACAGAGCACACACCAAAGAAAGCAGACCAAGGCAAATGATATAACCCAGACCAATCCAGGAAATCATTGTCAGACACCTGGCCTGGACTCCCCAAAGTCAAGGTCATGAAAGCCCCCCCCCCCCTTTTTAAGAGCAAACAGGGATCCCTGGATGGCTCAGCAGTTTGGCGTCTGCCTTTGGCCCAGGGCGTGATCCTGGAGACCCGGGATCCAGTCCCACGTCGGGCTCCCTGCCTGGAGCCTGCTTCTCCCTCTGCCTGTGTCTCTGCCTCTCTCTCTCTCTCTGTCTCTCTCATGAATAAATAAATAAAATCTTAAAAACAAAAAAAGAGCGAACAGTACAGAGGTACCTGTTCCCGGTCTAGGATACAGACACCTGATTAACCAAATGCGTGAGACCCTTGAACAATCCCGGGCAGGGTGGGGTGGGACAGCTGTGGAGGGCACGGAGAGGCCTGGGGGGCCTGGACTGCTTCCATCACACACTTACTGCTAACCGCAACTATCAGGGCATAAAGTGTCACAACGTCTGTAACCTAGTTTCAAACGTTGCAACAAAGTGGACGTTCACAGCGCTCAACGTAGAAAACATCCCTAGCTTTTTGCTGCCGATCTTTCTCATTTAGCGACCCAGCAAGTCCACCCCTGGGGTCCTCCCTCTGGAAGCAAGAGGCAGTCCGGGGGAGGGCTGTCCCCGCAGCAGGGCTTGTCCCAGCCAACAAGCGGACAGGGTCGGCCGACCAAGGCGGGCGGCGCCATCCTCCGAGGCCTGAGCACCGAGGGCGCAGGGTGAGGGCCGCGGTCCCCCGCGAACAGCGCCTCGACACCGCGGGCATCGGCCGCAGCCGAGCGGGGCCAGCTCAGCACCGCGCAGAGGCAAACGCAGGTCTCGCAAACGAGGCCGGAGGCTCACACCGCCGCGCGAGCCAGAAACGCCGCGGAGGCCCCCCGGCACGGCCCGCACGTCCGCGGCCAGGGCCCCGCGCTCACCGGACACGGGCGAAGGCTCCCTCCTGGGCTGCAGGCGGCTGGTCTGGGGCAGGAACGGGTTGTTGAGCCTGCGAGAAGTGGCAGGGTCAGGGGGGCCGGGCTCTGGGCGCCGCGCCCCGCCGCGCCCCGCGGGCCCGCTCACCCGAACGAGTTGGGCTCCTCCACCACCTTCATCTTGGCGGCAGCGGCGGCGCGGAGGGCGCACGGCAGGGGCCCCGGGGCGCAGGGACACGAGCCGAGCGCCGCGAGCCCCAGCAGCACCAGCACGCCCGTCCGCCTCGCCGCCATCGCTGCGCCGCGCGCGGGGTCACGTGGGCGCCGCCCGGTCACGTGGGCGCCGCCGGGCCGGAAGTGGCGCTCGGCGCCTGCGTAGACCCCGCCGCCGGGCGTGCGGGCCTCGGCTGCCCGCCATGGGCCGGAGGAGGGCGGCGTGGAGGTCGGGCGCCGGCGGAGGGTGCGCTCGCCGCCCCGCGGGCCGCTCTCTGGAGGCCTTCGCGGAGGACGTGGGAGCCGCGCTGCGCGGTGAGTGGGGCACGACCGGGGGCGGGGCCGGGGCGGAGGCCCGGGGTGGGGGGCCGGGACCGAGGGCCCTGGGTCGCGGGCCGGGGGCGGGGTCGAGGGCCGAGGTCGCGGGCCGGGGCGGGGTCGAGGGCCGAGGTCGCGGGCCGGGGCGGGGTCGAGGGCCGAGGTCGCGGGCCGGGGCGGGGTCGAGGGCTGGGGGCGGGATCGCGGGCCAGGTCAGGGGCCGGGGTCGCGTCGGGGGCCGGGGTCGCGTCGGGGGCCGGGGTCGCGGGCCGGGCGGGCCCTGCGAGCTGCCCCTGAGGCCTGGTACCCTCTGCGCTCCGGTGCAGCATCCGTGGAGCCAGAGACGGCGGAGGAGGAGGGCGGCTTGGGCCCGGCGCGGCCACCCTGCCCACTGGCCATGTGGGAGCTGGGCCACTGCGACCCTCGGCGCTGCACTGGCCGCAAGCTGGCCCGCCTGGGCCTGGTGCGCTGCCTGCGCCTGGGCCAGAGGTTCCGCGGCGTCGTGCTCAGCCCGGTGGGCTCCCAGTACGTGTCCTGCGCCGACAGGTAGGAGCGGAGGGGCGGGGCGGAAGGATGTGGTTGGGTCCCTAGGGAACGCGGTTCCCCTCCAGAGCCTGGCCGACCTTTGCTCCTAACAGGCAGCTGGTGGCTCAGTGCGGGGTCGCTGTCATCGACTGCTCCTGGGCCCGACTGGATGAGACACCGTTTGGGAAGATGCGTGGGAGCCACTTGCGGCTGCTGCCGCACCTGGTAGCTGCCAACCCAGTGAACTATGGCCGGCCCTGCAAGCTGTCCTGCGTGGAGGCCTTTGCTGCCACCCTGTGCATCCTGGGTGAGCGCTGAGCCTGCTAGCGGGATGGCGCCGCACACAGCAGTGTGTTCTCTACTGGCCGTCCCCGGAGCAACTAGAGGGCATGTGGGGTGGTCACGGTGGGAAGGCCAGGGTTTCCGTCCCACTTGTCACCCCTCAACTTGCCCTGAGAGAACCTAGGGCCCTAGTGGAGGCTCAGATAGGCGGCCCCATGAGACGTGGGTAGAGGGCCTCAGGGGACGGCGGAAGCGGGTGAGCAGGCTCACTGGAAAGGAGGAGGGCGTCTCATGGGGAGTTTCAGATGTCGGGACAGCTTTGGGGGTGCTGGGCGTGCACCCAGGATGAGAGAGGGATTGTGAGCATCCTTGGGTCTCCACTTTCCTCACCGTTAGGCTTCTCAGACCTTGCTATCATTTTGCTGCGGAAGTTCAAGTGGGGCAAGGGCTTCTTGGACCTGAACCGTCAGCTCCTGGACAAGTATGCGGCCTGCCGTGGCCCGGAGGAGGTGCTGCAGGCAGAGCAGGAGTTCCTGGCCCATGCCAGGGAGCGCCCCGAGGAGGAGGAAATCGGTGAGGCCCGGCATGCACACAAGCCCCCTGGTTGGGAGCCAGGCCCCTCCAGGCACAGCACCTCCTATGGAGAAGCCGGGGCTGTGGGAGGCTGGTCCTGCTCTGAGCTCACTCACAGGTCCCTTTCTCACGTGCTTCCTCTCTCCAGATCCTTTTGACGTGGATTCTGGGCGGGAGTTTGCAAACCCCAACAGGCCAGTGGCTGGCACTCGGTAGGTCCTTGGGCTTCCCGGTCTTGAGACAGCTCAGACCCAGGGCTCTCCGCTGCCCCTGGCCTCAGCCCTTCCTGCAGATGTTGGGGGTGAGGAGGAGGGGCGGGTCCCTAAACACAACAAGGGTTTTGTGACTGGGAAAGGGAATGTGAACGTCCCACTGGAGAGGAGAGCTGTTGGTTTTGAGAACACAGGGAATAGAAGAATCTGCCCTCAGGTGGGGGCTCCTGTGAGGGAGTGTGCCTGGGATGACGCCCTTGGCGAACACACCTCTCCCTTCCAGGCTGCTCCCAGACAGTGGTGACAGCGACAGTGAGGATGAGTCCGAGGAGCGGGGACCTGATGCCAAGGACAGAGGAGAGAGCAGCAGCTGCCCCGAGGAGGAGGATCCTCTGGAGCAAGGGGCAGAGGCCGGGGCCCCCCCAGACGTTTGGAAAGGAATCAAGAAATGGCAGAGAGACTGAAGTTTGCAGACACGTGTATTTCTTCACGACGGAGCGATAAGGAACTCAAGATACAGCAGGACTCGTGGGGACACAGGCCTGGCAGCCTCAGCCCTCGTGGCACTGGACTCTATCCCCATGCTTCTGACACGGCTGTGCTCTGGGGCTGCCGAGCCTGCCCAGTGAAGCTGCAGGCCAAGGACATCCCGTGTGAGCTTGTTTCTTTGCACTTGGCCAGGGAATTGGGGGAGGAGGGGACGACGCTCAGTCTCTAGTGAGGCAGGCCCTGCCTGGGGAGGGTCTGGACTGTGGGGGTGCCAGGCGTGGAGCAGGTCCTGCGCGGGCATGTGTATGTGGACACAGAAGGAGAACACGCTGGAGAGCTGTGTGGCCAGCACAGAGTTTACACTGACCCATCAACTTTGCGTCATGTCCCCAGCCTCACGGTGATGCCACGGGACCCTCTCTCGGGCCGAGGAGGTGGGGACCTATGCAGTTCTTAGCAAACATGTCTGTATACCCTCTGGTGAAGGCATCGGGGTGCCCAACTTCCCCTCTGCCAGGGCCACTGGGAGCTGTTTCCTGCCAAAGCTTGTCCAGACTCAAACCCCACCTTCCTGGCTCTTGGCCTTATGGGCCCTGCCACACGCCCCAGCCCAGAAAGAGAAGACAGAGCTTCCTCCAGGTGGGCTCTGTGCAGGGGCACCAGGAACATTGGGGAATGGCCCGTTCTTTGCTGAGGAGAGGTTGCCATGTCCGTAACTGCAGGACCTCCAGCAGCATCCCTGGTCTCACTGTCAGTGCCACTAGCACTCCCTCCAGCCTGTGGTTCTGAGCTCCAAAAATGCCTCCAGACTTGGCCTAATGGCTCCTGGGGAGCAGAGCCACCCCGCTGACAGCCCTGTTCTAAGCCCCATGCCTGCCTGCCAGGGGAGCCGATGGGGAAGCTCACCTGGTGGCCGGGCGTGCTCTGCTCTGCATCCAGGGGGACAGCTGCTGGCCAGGCCCCACCGAGTGAGCTCCCAGACCCAGAGTGGGGGTGCTGCTGGTAGCAAGGGGTTCACGGTACACACCACGCAGACACAGCCAGGGCAGAAAGGAGCTAGAGGGCCAGCCACAGCATGCACACGACATGGCGGGGTCAGGGAAGGAGCCCTGGCTGCGCAGAGCTGCCCACAAGGCAGGACGGGGGCAGCTCGGGGGCTTGGGAGGCCTCAGGGGTCCCCCTCCATGCACTTCTCCAGCTCCTTGAGTCTCTTGACAAATTCCTGCGCCTCTTTGCTGCTGCGGCCCTCCAGCATCCTCAGCGCGGACCTCACTGTGGGCAGGAGGGGCAGGGCCAAGGTGAGACCGCACCCCATCAAACCCACCACCCCCTGGACCCTCACTCACCCTGGGCTCTGGGCCGCCGCAGGTGCAGGGTAACAGGCTGCCTGGCCCTTGTGTTCCCTCCCACCTGGGGCCGCACGATGCCACCAATACTGCCCAGGCCGAGGGCCGCCTCCCCTGCGAAGTCGTTGGTGGACAGCCAGTCATGGTCCATGACCGTGAACAGCACGCAGGCACCGCGGCGGCGGCACGCCTCTGCCGGCACAGAGCTGCGGGCAAAGGGCAGTCACTTGGAGCCCTGCGCCCCACTCGGGCACGTGGACAGGCTGATGGGAGGGTCACTCACAAGTAGAAGAGCTCATCATACACGGGGTGCAGCGTCCGGCTCTTGACCTGCGTCCTCTGGCTGCGGACCAGCGGGAAGAGGTGTGGCGGGCCCAGCTCCACGATCACAAAGGGGTCGCTCAGGCCTGAGGGGCACGACCGCGAGCAGCCCGTGAGCACTCACCCAGCAGCGCGGTGCGGGTCCCCATCGGCACCTCAGCCCCTCACCGTTGGCGTCCAGGGCGGGCAGGTCTGCCGCGTGCAGCACCTCCACCACCAGCCTCTGCTCTGCTGCCTCGTAGTGACAGCGAACGCTCAGGCGCCCGAACCGTTTCTGCTCCAGCGACCTCTGTGGAAGGGCTCAGGCCGGTGACCCGGGGCTTGGGGACTCTGGGGGAGAGGCTGCATGCCGGGCTGGGCACCGTACCTGCTTGAGCTTGTCCAGGTAGTACTGCTCGATGCACTCGCGGGTGGAGCACTGGTGCAGGCGCAGCTCCTCCTCCAGTCTCTGCGGAGCCCACCAGGTGCTGAACGCGGGCCCCCAGGTGCACACCGCCCGCTCCCTCCCCCAGGCCAGGCCTCACCTTGTAGCTTCCATCCCTCAGGCTCTCCAGGGGCAGACCCTGCCCCTCAGCGTGGAAAAAATTCACCAGGGCCTGAGGCAGGGCAAGAAGGGAGGGACGTCAGAGGCAGGGCGGGGCTGGGGCTAGCGGGCTGGGCAGGTGCGCTTGGGTGCCACACCTCAGGAGCCCGGGAGCTGGGGGAGAGGCCAGTGCCCGGGGCCAGTTGACTGTCCTGAGAGGCGGCTGGCAGAGGAAGTGCTGGGCTGCTGGAACCCCAGGGGAGCAGCTCAGGTGGGAGGGCCCGGCCACGCGGGGCAGTGGGCACAGGCAGCTCGGGGAGCTCGGGGCCGGGCTGAGGTGCAGCGGAGGCTCCTCGTGCAGCCCTACCTCCAGCGTGAAGTGGAAGCGGCCGTAGAAGTCGGTGGAGACGTCGAGGTTGGCGCCCAGTGCCTGCAGGATGGTCTGCAGGAGCAGCTCCCAGAGGGCCTCCAGCACCCTGGAAGGGACGCCAGGCA